GGGAGATTTGTTTTTTAAAATGTAGAGAATGATAATCTTAAACTATGGAAATCCTTAACCCTAGGTACTACTATCAAAATTATTTGGTCCAGAAGGAACATTCTATTTTACTTCATATTCACCTGGTGAACACATCATTTGCTTAGAATCTAATTCAACAAGGTTCGTGTCTGCTGGAGAGAGAAGGCTGGTGAGTGTGCACCTCTGGAGGCCTTGCTGACACCTTAGAGAAACTCGTGAAGGTCCCTTCTGGTCTCTAGGAAGGCTTTCAAAAGGGAGCCGTGAAGCCGACTGACGGGGGAAGTGAGAGCTGAGGGAAGGTGAACAGAACTGTGGTCCCTCAGACTTGACAGCAGGGGAAGGCTGAGGGGGAGTTAGTAATGGATTCCAATAAATGAAACTCATGCAGGAGGATGGTGGGTGGCTCTTCTCTAAATGTGTTGAGGACAGATGAAGAGAATTTGTACTTTAGTATAAAAAATTCTGTTATACATAAAGAAAAGTTTCCTGAGAGCAGCCATCAAATCTTCTCAGCACCTCATAGTAAATCTGATTTGCAGGAAGGTATAAATACACCCTCAGGTCATTAGGCTGGCACTTACTGCATCATTGTTAAAAAAGGCAACTGAGTAGAACAGGGACAAAAGGGAGACCAGGCACAAAGCGGCACCCCACTCCCCACTCCCCCACTCATCAAGAAGGGAAGGGAGGTGGAAGGAGGGAGCGAGGATGCAGGAAACACTGAGCTGTCTTCAATGCCCGTTTCCTCCTCTTCACTGTTTAAGCAGCGCATCCACTTGGATATTCGAGTTGGAGAACATGACCTTGATGCTGCAATTGCTCAGGCAAAGGACAAAGTTAATGAAGTTACCTTCAAGCTTGAACATCTAATGGAACAAATTGAGCAAATACTCAAAGAACAAAACTATCAAAGGGTCAGTCTGCCTACTCAGCTTATTTGATCTCTTCCTGCCAGGAATGCATTTCTCAACACAAAGCCCCTGGACCAGGGAAAGAAGGAACTGCCAGTTGTTTCCTGGTGTCCTGAGTAGAACCACGTGGGCAGGCAGTGCCGAGAGAGGTGCTGGCTGGGCTCTGCTGGGAAAGGCACTGCTCTCTTCCTATCCCTGTACCAGCAAAGCACCCGCAGCAGAAGGTGGGAACTTACGGAGGGAATGAACAATGCTCCCAACACACTCCATATGTCTGTAGGGCCAAGTGGGCCCCCTTTCTGGATCAGTCTGTCATTCGACCCTGCTTCCTGAGTCACTGGGTTCAGTGGGCTCAAATCTGCTCTACCACTCACCACCTTGTGTCCTCACTAAGCTTGGGTGTCATGATCTGGAAAAGAAGGACTGGAGTGAACTTAAGTAAGGCAAGCATGTGGCACAAAGGAAGAACTCCAACAGGGGAATCACCCCAATTGGGTAGGCAGTGTTTGCTCTGCTTGATGGTAGCAAATAAAATGTATGAAGTCGTATTTCATACAGTTCGTATTTGGTGTATTTCACACCAAAATGCAGTGTGTTTTATAAGGTTGATTTTTACTCTTTTATACTCAGTTAAACAACAGATTCAAGCTCAGGAAATTACAGTACACCTTAGTATAATATATTAACTGGGTAATATCAAATATCTTGAACACATACAGCAACCTTCCCCTCCAAATCACACATTAAGTTCTTTAAGAAACTAAATCCATCCATCTCTCTTATGCATAGGACCGTGAAGAAATTTTTCGAAAGACCAGTGAAGATACAAACAGCAATGTTTTATGGTGGGCTTTTGCACAAACGTTGATCTTCATCTCAGTTGGAGTTTTCCAAATGAAGTATCTTAAAGACTTTTTTATAGCTAAGAAGCTTGTGTAAAACATTACAGGTAAAGGCAAATAATCTGCATAATGTTTGAATGAATAAACCAAATACATGCATAAATATGTATAACTTTTTTTTTTTTTTATGGTGCTGGGGCTTGAATGGGGATTGGACCCAGGGCTTTGTGCATGTGAGGCAAACACTCTACCTACTGAGATAATATGTATTACTTATAATTTCAAAGATACCAGTGGTTGAAATTAATGTTATAGATTGCAACATTGATCAAATATTTCTTTAACAATGTAGCTTGTGAATTTTATAAAGTAAGCACATTATCTTATTTTTTTAAACTTGGTTTAAATCAGCACTCTCTAGTAGGATTACAATGTGAGCTACATATGTGACTTTAAGTTTTCTGGTCACCACAATAAAAAGGGTGTTTAAGAAAAGTAACATCAACTCTAGTGACATATATTTAATCCAATATATAAAAAAATTACCATTTTAAAACATACTCAACATAGTTACTAATGAGATATTTTATCATCTTTCAACCATACAACCAGGTTATAGGCTGCACTCTTAGTATCGCTGATTTGGACCAGCCACCTTCCAAGCACTTAGTGGTCACTTGAGGCTCACAGCTACAGCACTACCGAGAGCAAATACACCCTGTCCCCAGGCCACATCCAAGAAATAGTCACCCTTTCCTTCCATTCTGCTAGTTCCTAACTCCCTGAGAGGCACCTTCCCCACACAAACAAGGCAATTTTCCTGAGCCATGTTTTCTCACTAGGTCTCCACCAGTTCTTGCAGACAGCACAAACCAAGGCAGGTCCAGCATTAGTCAAGGAATGGACCTCTTATTTTAAAAGTAATGTTTGGGGGCTGGGCCTGCAGCTCAGCGGAGAGTGCTGGCTTAGCATGTCTGAGACACTGAGAATGGGATATGGGTTTAATTCTCAGCACTGCATATATAGTTAAAAAAAAAAAAAAGTCTATCAACAACTCAAAAAAATTTTTAAAAAATTACTTTTGTGGGGCAGTGGTTGTGGCTCAGGGGTAGAGGGCTAACCTAGCACATGCAAGGCCCTGGGTTCTATCCTCAGCACCACATAAAATAAATATATGAAATAAAGATATTGTGGGACTTGGGTTATAGCTCAGTGGTAGATCACTTGCCTTGCATGCATGAGGCACTGGGTTCAAATCTCAGCACCACATAAAAATAAATAAGCAAATATATTGTGTCCATCTACAACTAAAAAATAAAAAAAAGATATTTTGTCCAAATACAACTAAAAATATTTAAAATAGAAATTGCAAATACAGTTGAGTCCCTTCCCCCAACTACTATTTTAAAAGGGAAACAATCTTCTCAAGCCCCTTCATATGCATATGCTGGAGGCAAGCTGAGCTTCTGCCCCATCCCAATCTGCTTCTGTCCCCAGCCCAGACAGTGGGCCTGTCACTCCCAGATCCTGGTTCACTCAGTCCTCCTAAGACCAGACCTCCTGGTCCCCTGGCCTGACTCACTTTCCTTCCTCTTTGTCCTGGTAATCTCCAGGTCTCCCACCATTTCAAGGCTAGGACCCTGTAGCTCCCTCAGTCTCTCTGGTCCCCTAATCTCCTGCCCCTTCCCATTAGGATGGGTGTGGGAACAGGTACATGGAGTACTGCAAACATGGCATACCTTAAGGGCGTCTGAGTGGCAGGCCATTCCCCTTGAGCTAGGAACGTGAGACCCAGGCTGGTTACCCCATAGGGATAGCCCTGTGCGTGAGGCCGTGTGTTGCAGTCCCTGCACTTGCTCTATGGCCCACTCCTTATTGGTTGCTGCAAGGACAGTTAGCAGAAATTGCACTGGTGGCTGCTTGTAATCTGCTTAGCTACTGCCTGAGTATATATACAGGTGCAATAAAATCAGATCTGCTTCCTGCTTGGTCTCCGGAGGTCTTGATTAGACACTCCGCAGCCACACTCTCCTCTATCCTGTTCCCATGGACCTCCTCACTGGGCGAGAGAGCCTCCATCCAGATGGGTATAGCTAATTCTGGCCCCTGATCAGCCTGGTATCCACCCCCCATGTACCACCCTCAACGGGATGCAGAGCCCCCCGTCCCCAACTTGGCCATCCAGTCTTCCTCATCCACTCTCTCACTGTGGGCATGGAGGGCTGGCCCAGTGTGCCACCGCCATGACCATCCACCCCAGGTCCCAGTGGGCATGGAGCTCACGTGTGCTCTGCCTTCTGGCCAGTCTCTGTGGTTGTCACCCTGTCCACTTGTTCCCAGGGCGCACGGAGACAAGGCTATACCACCCTCTGCCCCATCTTCTGGCCATCCACCTATGGCTATCCTCCAGTCATGGTGGCCATGGAGACCAGGCCCCTTGCTGCTTACCCCGCAATGGGACAGGCTGATGGCCAGAAACCGAGCACCCAGGCCCCGTTGGCGCACACTGGGGGCCACCCCGGGAGGACGCAGGGGCTCATTCTGAAACCGAGGGGTTTCCAGGAAAGCGAGACGCACATGTCCCCTCCCAGCCTAAGCCACCTGTCCTTCGCTGCCCGGAAGAGCCCCAGCACCCACGGAAGGAAGAAACCCGACCGCGGACGGGCGCAGGCGCTGGGTAGTAGACCCGAGCCTGCGCCGCGGGCAGGGAGCACCAGCCTTGGGACAGCTCAATAAAACGCTTTCTTTCCTCCTCAAAACCCTTGCTCCTGGGCCGGGGCTCAGTGGCAGAGCGCTCGCCAGCACGAGCGAGGCCCGGGTTAGAGCCTCAGCGCTGCACAAAATAAACAAGTAAAGCCATGCTGTCCATCTACAACTACAAAACAATAACCAAGAAACAAAGCAAAAACTTTCCTCCTCATGGGCTTGGCCAAGGAGGCGAGGATCGAAACAGTGAAGAGGGCTGCAGCGCGGGTTTTGGCGGGACGCGCTGGGTGCGCAGGCGCGAGGGCGTGTGTGTGCGCAGGCGCAGAGCTACCTGCCTCCCGACCCACGCTGTAGGTACACCCTAGCGTGGGTTTGGGGTTTGGGCGGGACGCGCTGGGTGCGCAGGCGCAGGGCCATGTGTGCGCAGGCGCAGAGCTGCCTGCCGGCCTGGAAGCATATCCCAACCTCGAGGACCTCGCGCTGTTCTGGGCCTCGCCACCAGCTGTGCAGTTGCAGCAGCATGGCCAGCTGGGTGTTCTGTAACTACTGCTTCCAGTCGCCTAGAAGGACATCGTCCTTCAGCCTGACCAGCTGTGGGCACGTGTACTGTGACGCCTGCCTCGGCAAAGGTCTCGGTGGGGCCGGGCGTGCCTGAGGGGCAGGGCGGGGGAGTGTGGGGCGGGGGTCCCCAGGAGCAGAAGTCCCTGAGGGACCGGATGGAGTGAGGAGTATGGGGTGGAGGTTCCAAGGGCAGAACCCGGAGTATGGGAACTACAAAGCCCCCGCGGAAGGAGGAAACCCCACAGGGGACGGGAACTCCTGGTTTGGAGCAGGCTAGGTGGTTACACAACCAGGGACGAGCTAAATTCTTTCTGAGAATGTTTTTTTTTTTTTTTGATGAGGTAGAGTTTATACAAGGAAAAAGAGCAATTGTGAAAATTCACAAAGCAGCACAACCTGAGAAATGGGGTCATGGTCAGGGATATAGTCCAGCACCAACCCTGGAAGGCCCTTGGGCACTGCTGCCTGACTCCCTCCGTGGATGACCGTAGGCTGGAATACCACCAGTGGGGTCATACAGCATGCATGCTTTCCTTGCAAGATTCCTCTCAGTTTGCGTGTTGTGGTTCATCTGCTCTCCTTGCTGTATGGTACACCACACCTTACTCAACGGATGGACTGATGGCCATGTAGGTTGCCTCCAGATTTGTCTGGCAGATGGTACTACTGTGAACACTCTTGCTCATGTTTGATTTCTGTTGGGTGTAGGTAGGACCAAGAGTAGAGTTGCTGAATTTCAGGTATGTATTTAAATCCAAAGTTTCTGTGGCAGCTTGGGGAAAAGTATTTTGGAGTGAGAAGATTTTTCAGGAAAAACTGTACAATGGAACATGTGAGAGTGATTGAGGATAGGATGGGACTGTGAGATGGAGAGAAGTGATGGGTTTGGAAGAGATTAAGTGGATTTTCAGCAGACTTGAGTTAAGCAAGGCAGGGAACTAAGCAGGGGCTTCCCTGCTGAATTCTGGAGAAGGGACCAGCTGGGTGGAATGAGGCTCACAACTTCATATGTGAGCACTGTCCTGGGAGGAAACGGAGGCAATTGTACATGTGGATCTGGAATTAGCCTGGAGCATATTCTGGGAGCTGTGTTGGTTAGCTTTCCTTTGTTGTGATCCTGAGTAAAACAAAAAGAGGAGGTTTCAGTCTATGGTCACCTGACTCTTTTGTTTCTGAGTCTGTGGTGAGACAATATCATGGTGAGGAGCACATGGTACAGAAAAGAAGCTCACCCTTGGTTTTAGGAAACAGACTGGGGACAAGATATACCCTTCAGGGGCATGCTCCCAGTTACCTACTTCCTCCACCTAAGGCCCAAGTCCTAAAGTTTTCACCACCTCCCAAACCTTCAACACATGAGCCTTTGGGGAATATTCCAGGTCCAACTCTAACATTTTGCTTCTAGTCCCCAAAGGCTCATGTCCTCCTCACAATACAAAATGCATTCAGTCCATCTCCAAGAATTCCCATAGTCAACAGTTCCGTCATTACTCCAAAGTCCAGTCCAGAGGCTCCTCTGAGACTCTTAGCTATAAGCCCTGTGAAAATCAAAAGCATTATTCCAACAAGCAATGACACAGGATAATCATTCCCATTCCAAAAGAAAGGAATAGGAGAATGCCAAGGAAGGATCAGAACAAAACAAGACCAAAACATAACAGGGCAAACATTAAATCCAGTAGCTCCATGTCCAGCATATGTCCGTGTGGTAATGGGATGTGGGCCCCAAAGGTGTTGGGCAGCCCTGCCCCTGTGGCCTTGCTAGCTGCATCCATCCTACGTGGCCATTCTTTTGCACTGGCTCTGCTCCTTATCAGTGGCTTTGCTCTGGAGATGGTCTATTTCTGGAATCTCTTTCTGGGCTCTCCATAGCATCTTTAGCTTTATTCTTAAAGCTCCACATACTACCTTTTCTGAGACTGCCTTCAGGCATTGTAAGCCTGCCTCACTGCCTAAAACTTGAGTAGAAGCTTTTGCAACCCCACAACTCCTACATTCTGCATGCCTGCAAAACCAGCAACTCGTGAACAAAGACAGGGACTGTTTGAACAGCAGCTGGGCCCCCTCAGATTGTGGCTGCAGTGGCCTTTGAGTGCTTGAATGGCTGAACACAGTGAAACAAATCCCAGGGAAACAACTTCCTACCTGGGGGGGGGGGGGGGGGGGGGGGGGGGTGTGCGGGGCATTCAGGCACCCACAAAAAAAAAAAAAAAGTCTTTCAAACAAGTTTTATTCTTCTCATACTCTTGGGTTACTATAGGTAGGGTCTGGCCAGTTCTTGAGATGTCCTCAGGCATCTTGCCTATTGTCCTAGTGCAAAGCATTTGGTTTCTTTTTGTTGGTGCTAAGCCCTTTAGCAGTTGTACGCTTCTTGCCTGCAACTTTATGTGTGCTCCTTTTCTGGCCAAATTGCAAGTTTTTCAGATCTTTCCACTCAGCTTTTTGCTTCCAATTCTTACTATAAATTTGACTAAAAGAAGCCAGCAATGCCTATTCCACAGCCTGAATGCTGCCTTGAAATTTCTTCCACCAGATTAATTAGTCCATCACCTTTAAACTCAGCTTCACACACAGTCTCAGGCCATGAGCAAAATGTAGACAAGTTCTTTGCCAGAATGCATGGGTGGCCTCTAGTTCAGTTCCAGTAGAATCCTCATTTCCAGCCAAAACTTCATGAGCATAGTCTTTACTATCTATTCCTATCAGCATTCTGATCTTCTGAGATCCTACTAGTTGCCCATTAAGTTGTGCTTATGGCATTCTAAGTTTTTTCTAGCCTGCATTTTCAGACTTTTCTGAATCTCCTCACAAACCACCTACAAAGACTTCCGTACAGTCACAGCAACAACCCTACTTCTTGGTACCAGTTTTCTGTGTTAGTTTTCCATTGCTGTGACAATATGCCAGACATACTTGAAAGGATAAAATGTTAACTTTGACTAATGGTTTTAGAGGTTTCAGTTCATGATCATCTGTCTCCCATTGTATCTGGGCCTATGGTAAAGAGGAACATCATGTCAGGGAGCACTTGGAAGCACAAAGTGGCCCACCTCATGGCAGATGGGAAGCTGGGGGCTGGGGAAATGATATACCCTTCACAAACACACCCTCAGCTGCCTGCTTCCTCCAAAGGTTGTGGGGGGGGGGGCGGGTAGAAAGTAGAGGTGTCAATGAACTGGACTTCCCAGTGAAGACAAATATCAGTGTTTGGATGTATCTGCTGGACTTGTGGCATCCATCATTGATGATCTAAGGTGACTTTAGAATGACAAAGACACTTGCCTTTGTGGTGTTGGGAGGTACAGAGACAGGGCTCAGTGTCAACTCTTAAGGCCACAGTACCCTGTTAGCAGTTGCTTGGTAGAGGTCCTAGGACATAGGGAAATTCCCAGGGACTTCTGGCTCTCGGAGCCTGAGGCTAAAGCAGGTTCCAGTTGGCTGAGGTCATAGACACAGTGCTGGGGACACAACAAGTTCAGGGACACACAATAAAAAGTGAAAAGAGATGGCTGTCCACGATCCACTGCTCATAAGCCCTCTAAGCTCTTGGTGTACCTCCTCCCAGACTTTTTCCTATGGATGCAAAATTTTAAATAAAGAGTGATACATGTGTGTATGGCATTTAGTAATTTGCTTTCATTAATTACTAGGGCATCTTCCCCTTTAAAATAAGTTTGTATCATCATTTTTAAGGTTTTAAAAGATCTTTAGTCACTGTGCCCTGAGTTATTTGATTCTCTACTAGAAATTTAGATCTCCTGAAATGTTGTTGCTACACACTACTTGCTCACCTACTTGATTTTTTCCTTTGAAATATATACATCCTAGTGGAATTTCCAGCTTGGTATGTACATTTTAAGGTAGGCCAGCTGCCCTCTAGAGAAGGTGTATCCGTATAGATCCCCAGTAATGACATGTGGGTGCCTGTCACATGTCATGACATGTCATGCTGGCTTTCGCAGTTCATTAGTGGCTTGGATTTTCTTTCTATGCGCTTACCGGCTATTTGCACTTTTGCTGATTGCTCATCAGGGTCCTCTTCTTGGACTGCTTCTTTTTAGTTGCCTCAGAAGCCCTGTGTATCAGATATCAGCCACTTTGTCTGAGCTGTGAATGATTTCCACTGTTGAGCCTCAGCCCTCCTCCCACTCCAGAACACTTGGGTTTTTATGAGACAGCTCTGTAATCTTAATTGAGCAGCTTCTGGTTTTGGGGTTGCACAAGAGGAATTTCCTAACTCCAGAATCTGCAGAGAAAGAAAGTGGGGAGGGGCATGCTGTCGAAGGTGGATGTTCTTAGGAGGGGGTGCCTTGAGTGTGAAAAGAGAGGGAAGGAGGCCATTCCTGAGGCTGGGGAAGGGACCATTTAATGCACACCCTGCCCCCTTCAGTGCAGGGAACTGGGGCAGAGTGATGACCACACAGACTTGCAAGATGGAGAGGAAAGAGGCAGTGAGCTCGGAGTTTCTGCTGGTGAGTCCAGAGCAGAAGGCAGGGAAACAGTGGGTTGCAAGTGGGGTCTGCTTTTGCCCCTCATTGAACATCCCCACAGACGCTGTTTAAAACCACAAGAAAAGCAGATGGATTGCAGCACAGTGTGGCGGACCCAGGAGACTGGAGTCTGCAGATCTGCCGCACCACCTTTCCAGTGGAGTGCCCCGTTCCCAGCTACACTGACCAGCTGGGCTCGTCCAGTTGGGTGGAGTGTGCTCCCTAGAAGGGCAGGGCGCTTGTGAACTGGTGATGGCTGTCAGCCCCAGGCTCCATGCTGACCAGTGGAGAACTGAAACCAGAGGGTCTGAGGAGGTGGCCGGTGGGGTTTTCCACCATGCTTGGGAGGGGCTGACTTCTTAATGATGCTGAGTGCTGTGGGGGTCCAAGGTGTGACCAGGCAACATGCTGACCTGGGCATGGGTCTCTCCATGGAGAGCCAGTGCTGAGGGCCAGCTACTGGAGCCCCACTTTCCAGAATGACAGTGAGTGTCACGGAGAGGAGGTGGTGAACCAGGGCTGGGTTGGAGCTGGAGCTGGGCAGCTGGGTGAGCTGGGTGTGGGCAGGCGAGGCATGCTGACCTTTCCTCTTCAGGCCCTAGGACCGGCTCACAGCAGTGAGATGGTGCCCAGTGAGTGGGGACGTGGCCCTCCATGGGGTGGAGGCCTCATGTGATGTCATGTGGGGAGGCCCAGTGGGGAAGAACAAAACTCATTTCATCTTTTGGGTGGGTTGTAGGAGTCATTTTCATTATAAATAGTTGGAATTTTAAATTAGGACATCACTGTATGATCTAGTTGCAAGGAGCAACTGTGGTGGATTTAACTTAAGTGTTCTCTCTTAATGGGCTCTGTGTTGGCGTATTTGCAAAGCAGGAGGAAAGGGATGGTTGTGTAAAGTGTTTAGTTGTCCACAGCTACCCTCACCCGAGTCTGGACTTGTGGTGCTGCAAGTCTCTTAAAGGAGCATTAGCATGTCCGCATTTGTATGTCTTTAGAAGCACTGCAATGTAATGCAATAAAGTCTGTTTTATTTTATAGGTAAAAAGGATGAATGCTTGATTTGTAAAGTTCCTTGCCGTACAGTTTTGCTCTCAAAACATGTAAGTTGAAATCTGTGGAATTCAAGTATTAATCACAGTAGTACTTTTAATTTGAGATTTTTAGTCATGTGTGGTACTAAAATTTTCATTTGTTCTACTAACTTAACTGGATTTTCTATCTGGGTAATCAGAGTTCAGTTAGGATCCTGTTTCTAAAACCTCAGCACAGCTTCCTTTCTTGGGCCCAGATCAGCCTTGTGCAGGGTTGTTGGATTGTGCTGTGCCCCTGGATGTGGAAGTGGGCGGGAACGATGGCTCCAGCCTAGGCCGGCTCCCTGAGAGGGGAAGGCTCTCCCTGCGGTCCTGTAGGTGAAGGAGTCCAAACCCTGCTGGGGATGGCCTGAAATGATGCCTTTGGTCCTGTCTACAGAAGACACCAGTTTAACTTGTTTTTAGTTGTAGTTGGGCACAATATCATCTATATTTTATTTATTTATTTTTATGTGGTGCTGAGGATCAAACCCAGGGCCTCACACATGCTAGGCAAGCACTCTACTGCTGAGCCACAACCCCCTGTTCCCCTCCTTTTCTTCCCCTTGTCTTGGAGCATATTCTCCCTGGGCATAGAAGGAGTGTGGCCCTGAGGCTCAGGGGTTGCCAGTTGGCTCTGACTTGAGTCCTTCCCACTGCCCTGCACAGTCCTAGAGGGGCAGCCACCTTCCTTGTGCACCTGGAGGCCAGGGATGGTCATCTGTGGTTAATTCTAGAAGCAGTAAGCCTACAGTCATTTGCTTTCTCTTTCAGACCGACTCGGACATACAGGCTTTCTTCATGGGCATTGACGGACTCTGCAGGAAGTACTCCCAGGAGACCGCCCAGGTGAGCCGTGGTGCTGCTCACCTCCGAGACAGGGCCAGTCCCTGGTAGGGCAGCAGGTACTTACATCTGTGATGCCTTTCACCGTGTTGGAGGTGCAGCCTTTCCAGCACAAAACTTTAGATTTTGACACAGTGTTTGATCCATTTTGCTGCTGTTTGTGTTTAGGTGGCACACTGAGACTCCCCACCTCTGTTGTGTCCTGAGAAGCTCCTGGGCTGGGTTCTCTGGGTTCAGGCAGTAGGTTTCTTCTTGAAACTGTCCTTTGCTGATGCTCACCCAGGACCCAAGTCCCCACTTCGTCTGAGTCTTGGTGGCATTTGGCTCCAGGGCCCCTCCCTTCCAGACACCCCTTCTCTAGCTCCTCTGAGGAGTGCCTCCCGGGAGCTCCTCCACCTGTTTATTCCAGACCCTCCTCCCACCAACACACACTGTGCTTCAGTCCATGCCCTCCTACCTCAGTGTGGACTAATGTGTGTCATTGTCCTCTCTGCCAGCCCTGGATGTCACTGAACAGCTTGCAGTCTTCTGTCTGCAGGGGAACTATCCAGGAAGGAGGGTCATCCTCTGCCCCAGCTCATCCCTCCTGCACCCGTTCTGTGAAAGATATGGTGCACACCGACATTGTCTACCCCACCTGGGGCCAGGTTGAGTGCAGGACAGCCAGGAACTGCCTCCAGCAGTGCAGGAGGCCAAGGAGAGCAGGCAGCCACCTCAGTAGACCTCAGCAGCGTCCTCCTTGGCTGTTAGCCCTGTGTTCAGGCTGTGGCCAGCCAGGCCTCCACACCACCTCTCCCTCTCCAGGAACCCATTCCAAAATGATGCCTGAACTTCCCACAGGACAGAGCTGTTCCAATGCGACTCCCCTCTCAAATTGTGCCAAAGTCATGTCCTCCAGGGAGGGACACACAAAAGCTGAGTCACAGGTAGACAGGCCCCAGAATGCAAGGTGAGCATGACCTGGACACCTAGAGCAGGACACTCCTGCCCACCTGTTCCGCTCCATCCTGCAGGCCCCACACTCAGGCTGAGTCCCTGCAGGCCAGAAGTTATGTGAGTTGGTGAAATAGAAGGTCCTCACAGACTCAGGACCACAGGCAGTATGGTTCCTGGGCACTTCCCCGAGCAGCCTCCACAGGGGCCAGTGCCTCTCAGGAGAGAAGACAGTGGACCAGAGCTGCCTGGGATGCCCACCTGGCTCCACTCTGCCCTGTGCCTCATGGGCTTCAGGCCAGCCATGGAGGCCTGCGGCTCCAGCCTGGGTGGCAGAGGCTGGCCCGGTGACCTCCCCCCACCTCTGAGTGGCTGCCTCATAGCTGAGCTGTGGCTGTGCTGACCTCTGCACTCACATTTCTTGTAAGCGTAGGGTGGAGTTCTCCAGAGACCGATGGTGCAGTGGTTATTTACGTGACGTAACGGGCTTACTGCCTCCAAACAGTATTCCTAGATTTCTGTCAGCCTCCATTTCTAGTAGGGTGAATATTGACAGGTAAACCCTCACAAAGCTCTCTGGGTCCTCAGCAACTTTAGACTGCTAAGCTGGCTGGAGACCAAACCGAGCGCCATCGCTGAGGTCCTGGGACCTGCACCAGGACAGCATCAAGGGATCACCTGGGCCAGGACCCTCCAGAGGCCCTTGGGCCCCCTGCCTTCCCAACCTCCTCCTCCCGTGGCGGCCTCTGCCTGAGGAGGGCCTACCAGCTCTGGCTCTGCAGCCCAGGCACACGTGCCTCTTGCTGAACAGCCAGCCAGTCAGCCTGGGCATGTGTTGACCCAGCAGCCACTGCTCTCGACCCAGAAACACCCAGCACCCGTGCCCAGGACCTTGAGGTGCCTCTGGGGATGCTGCTCTTCCTGCGGCCTGTTCTACCTCATGGCCTTCGGTCTCCTGCAGTCTCTCGCCAGGCTGTGTGCTGTCGTGTGGGGGTGTGTGAGCCCTGGGCAGCGCTCTGAGCAGGCTGGTCCAGTGTGGCGCCTCCTCAGCCCTGGGGTTGACCCAGTACCATCCAACCCAGAAGGCATATTCTCTTCAAAATGAGACTCTCAGTTTCTTTCTTTTTTTTTTTTTTAATATTTATTTATTTATTTTTCAGTTTTCAGCGGACACAACATCTTTGTTTGTATGTGGTGCTGAGGATCAAACCCGGGCCGCATGCATGCCAGGCCAGCACGCTACCACTTGAGCCACATCCCCAGCCCCTTTCTTATTTTTTTTTAATATTTATTTTTTAGTTGTAGTTGGACACAATATCTTTATTTTTATTTATTTTTATGTGGTGCTGAGGATTGCACCCAGGGCCTCGCATGTGCCAGGTGAGCGCTCTACCGCTGAGCCACAGCCCAGCCCTCAGTTTCTTTCTTAGCATCTCTAGTCTGTGGAGCTCAATATCCTTCCACGGTCAGGACTACAGAAACCCTGGGGACGATGTGAGATTGCAGGCCTGGGTGAGGCCTCAGAGGGATACAGATTGGTGGCCTGGATGCCTGGGGTCCAGTCTACCCCATCTGCTCTAGAGACTCCCTGGACTCCACACCACAGTCCCTTTACAGCTCACCAGCCTCTCTGTGGCCTGTGCTTGTCTCCTCCCTTCAGTGAGCTTTCTGGGACCCAGGGACACCCTCCCTGTGGTCCTGTCACCCCATCAGCATGTGCCTTACACAGGGCAGGTCAACCACTGAGGCCTTGCCCTCCCCAGTCCTTTCCTGGAAACAACCATGACAAAGCAGGAGCAGCATTCCTCTGCCCCAGTGCCCGCTGCCCCGAGCCCACACACTTGGTCCCTAAGGGTTCCCCAAAGCTAACAGCACTGTGTGGTTTAGGTCGTCACATGAAGCTCCGTCCTGTGCAGGCGCAGGACCTGTTGTGGATGGATGGGAGACAGGCAGCTGTGTGTGGTCATCAGTCTGCTGCCAGGAATTCCCAGCTCCACTGGCCCCAGTCAGGACTAGAGCCCGGAGGGCTCTATCTGGCCTTCCCTGAACAAGTCTGAGGCAGAGAAGACAGGAGAAACAAATCCCCTGTGGTCAAGTCTTGCCAGTGTGGACATGACACCAGTAGGCCCTCCACAGTCAGGCAGGTGTGTCTGCCACGGAGCCCCCAGCCCCGTGAGCCTGGGCAGCCAGAGGAGCGGGGCCCACCCTGCAGGGTTGGAGTGGCTTCATGAGACAAGCTGCAGGAGCTGGGCTGTGGGGAGTGTTTGATAGAGGTAGGCACCTCCACCAGAGAACTAGAGACCTCCCAGCGCAGTCACGGATGGCCCTCAGGGTCACGGCCTGCGGCATCATGAGGACTCCTCACCAGCCTTGGTGGGCAGCACCTGGTCGTCTTCTGCAGTTGGTCTTCTAGAGCCATGGGCTCTCTTAGATCCTGAGTCCTAAGCTCAGAGGCTTTGAGGAGGATGCTGACCCCACTGACCTGGAGGTGGCTCCCAGCACAGCTTGTCCCTAGGACGCAGGCGCAGTGTCAGGGCAGTATCTGTTCACAGCAGAGTTGGATCCTGTTTATACCAAATTAAGGATCATGGGAGATGCAGAGCACTCCAGTGTATCTGTTGTCACCAGCAGATGGTCGAGGTTGGTGACATGAGAGATTTACAGGAAGCCGACTTGACCCCACTTCAGCCCCCAGGCAGCCATGTTCCCTGGGGAGGTGCGCCAGATGGTGGTAGAACTTGGGCACATGGTAGCGGGTGCATGTGTCGGGTGTGACCCGTGGTCTGAAGCCTTGCTTGCAGGTCACAGCTTCACTCCTCAGTGTCGCAGAGCACTGTTCATCTCCCACATGGGTGCTCGGAAGCCTGTGAAACAGCAGTGTTGGCTCCAGTTGGAGCTGCCTCCAGTCCAGACAGCCACAGGCTCCCTGGGCTTCTGCTCCTGCTCTTCTACCCACCCACCCCAGTCCACGTACTAAGTTCAGGTTCTCCTCTGGCTATCCTGGTTGGCCAGGAGGCCGTCCCTCCAGCTAGTCCCCTTGTCAGAGTGACGACATGCTGAGGTCCAGTCAGTGGGGTCTTGTGCCTTTCCACATGAGAGCAACAGGAACATCACCAGGGAGACACAGCCCTTGGCAGGGAACAGGCTCATCTGTGTTTGCATTTGGCCTCCTGCTGGCCTTCCCTATGGAGGGACATCTGTGCCAAGCATCCATTCTGGATAGCAGCTGGCCATGGGCAGCAGGCAGGAGCCTCCCTACCAAGTGGAGCCTGCCTGTGGGTAAAGAAGGGGGTCTGCTGGGGAAGGGCAAGTCGGAGTGTGTTGGTCCCCACACTTGCAGTCCTTTGCAGCTGAGTGTGTCCTCGGGAAGTGTAGGGTGAGCCTGAGCAGCACCTACATTGAGCTTATTGTCTCCTCAGGTTTCAGAATTTCAAGAAAAACACAGGAAGAGATTGTTAGCCTTCTATAGAGCAAAGGTAAATCAAATGACCTGTTGCCACTGGAGCACCTTTAATATTTGATTCAGATTTCATGACCGTGACGATGAGTTATCAGGCAACATAATGTTGTTGCTATCTCCTCCTGATCATTACCACCTGCACAGACATGACCAAGGGACTTACCTTCTCAGTCCTCTTACACACCTAGAGGACAGGTGCTGTCAGCCACCTGCACAGACATGACCTTGGGACCTGATCATTAAGTCTCTTTCTGTAGTTTGGCAGGTGACAGGTCCAGATCTTGACATTTTGCTTTCCGAGCCATTTAATAACCTGTGTGTAGAAGGTACACCTAACGTGGACTGAGTCCCCAGGAGGAACCCCACAGTGGGGGCGCTCCTGGTCTCTGCCCACTCCCTCAGCACTAGTGGTGTCCAGGGCTTTGCTGAGTCTAGCGTGCGCCTGGCTCAGCTGTGCTGGTGACCCAAGTCTTGCTAGCTAATGTGGATGGTGTCATGCTTACTTAAGAAGCAGCCAGATGGGTTCTTCACAGGGTTGCTGGCGCGTCTGGCTGAGAACAGAAGTCCTCTCATTGTGTCTAGATCTCTCAGTTGGAAGAGTCCCTCAGGAAGTCAGCACTGCAGGTGGAGCAGCTGCAAAGGTAAGGCCCTCCCTAGGAGCAGTGGGCAGCCAGCCGCCTCTGACCTCTGAGACCGAGAAAGAGGGAGCCAAGGAGAGAGCATTTCATTTACTAGAAACTTCTGTCAAGGTAAAAAAAATCCATGCAAAAGCTAGAGGAAAAATAGGGAGACAAAAAGAAGAAAGTGGAATAAAAAGTAACAAAAAAAGCAGGGCTCTGGAGGCACCCAGCGATTCCTGAGGCAGCCGGTAGGGGCTTGCTCACTTAGCAGTTCAGGGAGTGCCTGGTGCATTCTTCAGTCCTGGGGTTCCGCAGTTCTCCTGTGAATCAGGCCTGTGCCCTGAGCTCTGCTTCAGGGCGGCACAGGGAATGAGCTTACATGTCAGGCAGGGGTTGGGCACAGGTGCCTGGGAGGGCCCTGGGAGGCCACCCTTGAGCAGAAGCTGTGTCACTGTTGCACAATTGCCTGTCCTGGCTCATTCAGCCCAACAGAACTTTTTGTGGGCACAGCAGTCCAGAACATTGAGTGGGTGCCTAGGCCATGGTGCTTCTTGTCTGCGCTGGGTGTACCTCCTCTGTCTGTGGAAACCCGTGCTCAGGACATCCACCAGGCTCAGGGGGCAGACTGGCCAGCCTAGGGTGCACATCACACACATGCCCAGTACATCCGCCAGGCTCGGGGGCAGACAGGCCAGCCTGGGGTGCACATCACACACATGCCCAGTACATCTGCCAGGCTCAGGGGGGCAGACAGGCCAGCCTGGGGTGCACAGCCTGCCTGGGTAGAAAGTGTAGCACACAGTGGGCCTGAACTGGAGGGCCAGGTGTCGGGCCTCAAGCAGTGCCTGTCAGAAATCCAGGGCTTGGCTGGACCAGAAAAAGCAACCCATTAACTTTCCCACATTTCTCTACTAGCCTCTGAAGCCTGGTGTGTTCATGGCTCCTGCCGTCTGTCATGATCATGATTGGCACCTACCTTCCAGTGGCTGTTCGTCACACAGTTGCAGCAGCAGGAGTCTGTTACATGCATGGCTGGAGCTTGATTTCCTCCTGCTTCCAGGATAGGGGCAGCTGGACAGGCAGACCAGCAGTGTGTGGGAGCTGTTAGATTTGTCCAGAGCCCTTTTGCAAGCACCAAGTGCTGTTTCAAAGTCTTCTCACACTCTTAGCAGGGTTGAATTAGTAGGAGTGCATTTTTGTCATTTAATTCAGTACCTTTTCTCCATCTGTTCAGTATGAGATCGTCACAGCACACAGCTTTCAGCACAACAAAGAATTCCATTTCAAGTGAGTAACATAACGCCGGGGGCAGTCAGAAAATGCATGCTGCCGACCACACTAACACGCACTAACCTGAATGCGTTTGTCACCCCTCCAGCAAAGCCACGTGGATGCCAGCTGCTGCCACCTCACTCCTCAGCCCCTGACAGGTGTGTGGCTGTGGGGTGGTGTGAAAGCAGGCAGACTCTGGGCCCCCCTGGGAATCAAGGAGCTGACTCTCCTCTGACCTTGACCAGGGTCCTTCCAGGAGAATTTGTTTACGCTGGCACACACCTTTGTGACACTTAGCTGATCCATGCTCCATTTATGCCTGCCTGACCGTTCGTCTAGCACAGGAATCAACTGTGCTCCCCTGGTGTCTTAGGGAAAACCTAGCCTGGGGCAGCCCCCCATTCTTCCAAGGGTGCACTGCCACAATAGGAGACAAGAACAAAGGTTTTACTTACAGATCCTGGGCAGGGAGGACACAGTAAGTCAGGATGGCAGGCCTCCATCCTTGGGCTCCAGGAGGCAGAAATGAAGGCACAGAGGGAGGCACCCATGGCCAGGCCTTTATGGGGGTCAGGGCACTGTCCAGACAGGTCTCTTGTGGGAGTTATAGCTGGTGGGTCTAGAGAAAGCAGGCACAAGCTCCAGGAGGTCACACCGTGACTGAGAGGTGGTCACTGTGGCATATCCATGCAGTCGATGTGGGGTGCAGAGTCAGCAGGCTGGTCAGGTAGGCTGTACCTCATAGTCCCATAGGAAGGTGTCACCACGAGCAAGTCATGCAGAGCAGGTATCTAGGACCAGCACCCTGGAGCTGGGGAAGGTGGAGAACTGTGAACTGTCCAGGAAGAGAGTTCTGCATATGGTGTGGGAAAGTTAAACTTGTGTTGAGAATACATGCCAGAGCAAAGTGAGATTAGGAGAATTTCTACTCAGGCCGGACCAATGGGAGTTACCCTGGACTCCCACTGAGGCTGTCAGAAAAGAGTTGGTCTTTTTGCTCTGGAGTCACTGGCTGTCAGATGGCCGGGCTAGGGGAGGGCCAGCCCCCAAACAAATCCAAGTGATGTTTCCTGTCCACCTTTCTCCTGGTGAAGGGTGAGCACATACTGGGCTCTAATGCTGGGAAATGGGCCAGGCAGTGGGTGGTGGACCAGTCCTGCAGGTCCAGGAAGAGCTGGGAGAGCTGAGAGGTGGGCAGCCAGGAGCAGAGAAGAACCTGCCAAGGTCCCTGTGTCCTGGAGAGGCTGCACTGATTTGACAGACAGTGGGCAGCCAGAGGGAGTGCAGGGGTAGCGGGATCGAGGCATCATGGGCGGAAGGGTCAGATCTACTCGCGGGGTCTGTACATGCAAGTGTGCTTAAACTGGTATCTTTTAAATTATAGATAAGTCCTGGGCTCCACTAATGCATTTCACTGTTTAACAGAGTGGAGTCGATGGAAGTTGACCTTTCTCCTTCCCCAATGAGAAAAGTAAGTCCAGCAGGCCACCTTGTCTCTCCTGTCCTAAGCCCACATGCTACTGTCTTCCCTTGTCCTCGGTACTTGTGAATTGGCCATGCTTTGAACAGTAGCCTGACTTCTGTCAGATTGTTGCCATTTGCTGGCCCCTGGGAGGCGGGGTGAGTGAACTGGGTCCTGAAAGACTTGAGAATGCATCTTGTCTGAATGGCCAGGCCTGTGGTCACCGAGGGGGCGGCCGCAGGGGCTGGGGCTTCACCTGTTTCACACTGGAGAAAAGTGAACCCTGTCAGCCCGGAAGGGAAGCAGGTCAGAAATCTGAGGACTGAGAAACCGACACAGCTGCGGGTTGGACAGGAACCCTTGGTCATGCCAGGTGGGCGGCACTGCCCCTCAGTCAGAACTGGGTCTCCTACGCAGCCAGCCAAGTCAGCCAGGCACTAGGCAGTTCAGAGGAGGTGGAAGAGGGCACTAGAGCTGGTGGGACAGTCAGGTCGAAGGTCGAAGGCAGGACACCATAGGCTGGGGACAGGGAGGGTGCCACTCTGATGTGTGCTTGTCAGCATGTGCAGCTTCCTGAGCCCTTTGAGGTGCTGCTTATCAGCAGGCACTGTCCTACATACTCTGTGGGTGTGACAGTCCTGGGGGCTTGTTGGTGGGAAATCACGCCACTTCCAAGGGAGTCACCTGGACCTGCTGTGGAGGAGCCTGGATTCCAGTAAGGGGGCCTTCGCTTAGTAGGGCACGCGGAGCCACCTGTAGCTCTGGAGAGGAGAGACCCCAGTTCCTTGGCAGTTAGTGTGGGCGACGGCTGCCCCTCCCTGCCCAGCTCACCTCCTGCAGTTCTGTCCATGCCTGCTTCCTGTGGTGCACCCCATGTGCTCTAGGCATCTGCCGCCCACCTGCCTCAGCACAGCTTGGCTCCTCAGAGATTAGACACTTGCTTCCATCTGTGCCTGCTTCAGAGATGACCCCATGCCCAAGGCTTCCTAGACCCACAGGGTAATGAAGGGTTTTCTCCTGTTGGGTCAGCTTCCGGTTTTCCTCAAGACCAGGAAATTAGTCCAGGCTGGACACTGAAAGACTGACAGGCTCCATTGAGCAGCATGTCACCAGGTGTCACAGGGTAGCTGAAGGGCCAAGATACAGTGAATGGAACTCCAGAGCCAGGTGCCCAGGCAGATGTTGGCAGATGTTTACTAGAGAGGACCAGATGGTGAAAGTGAAGGACTTTGCAGTCTGTTGCAGCTTCTTGGCTCTGCCACTGGCACCCCAGTAGCCGCAGGCCATGTGCAAATGAATGGGCACGGCCATCCCTAAAAGGCTTTGTCAACGCAAACCAGACGTGGGCCATGGCTTGCCAGCAAGATACGAAGTTTCAAGGAAAACGTCTAAGACCAGTTTTTCTCCCTTGAAGTCCCCTGTGGCGCTGGAGTGGGTGTGTGGAGGTTTCTGGGTGCGGTGGGTGCTCTCCTGTAGTGGGTACAGGCAAGGTACTTCTGGGAGCCCTGCTGCAGCAGGCTCTGCAGAGCCCTCCAGTGCTGCCTGAAGCCAGGTCTTTCTAACTGCCCTCAGCACAGTCATGCCTCTCTCCAGGGGCAGAGGCGGCCAGGTGACTTCTCCATCCAGGCCTCACCTTAATGAGAAGGACTTCCTCCTGTGCAGTCGGCAGTGGTAGTGACCGTGAAGTAAAATACATCTTCCAGATATAAAGCAGACACTCCTCACATGCCTCATCTACCCATCAGTGAGGGGAGGCAGTAGAATGAGGACTCTGACATGGAGGAGCCCAAAGAGCAAGTCGGGTGTGGGGAACCAAGCACCGCAGAGGCGGAGAGCCCCTGAGGCCGTGGACGGAAGCTCCAGCCGAAGGGGCTTCCCCTGCTCTCTGGCCTCAGGAGTGCCCAGCAGAGACCTGCTCCAAGCACGCTGGGAACAGGGAGGGAGGTCAGTCTGCTGGATCACCCATGAGTCAAGACTCCCAGGTGCTTGATAGGGCCAAGTGGGCACTGCAGGAAGCTGGTCCTGAGGTGGGCACGCAGGCTGGGGGGTGCTGGTCTGCTGTGCCACCTGTTTGTGCTCTGGATGGGTTGAGTTGTCTCGTATTTCCTGGGGCTGCCTAGCTTCCTATAGAGAGGCCTCCGTGCTCGAAGACCTGCTCCCCAGAAGGTGGCCCCAATGTGGGACCCCTCCCTGGGCTCTCAGCTCTCTGTTCCCAGAACCATTCGGAGGGATCTGGTCCTGCACTCTGCCTTGGCCTGGCTGCCCAACAGGCAGTAGGAACATGCTCTGGCTGGGTTCTAGTGACAGCTGAGACTGCCGCAGCTGAAGGCAGAGCCAGTGCCCCAGACCAGGATGGCAGTTCCCAGAGACACCCCAGACACCTGGGCCTCCTGGCACCATCTTCCCTGGCCCTACCCTACAGATGCTGTGATCCAGGTACTTCCAAGCCACCAGAGAGTTGCCTGTGTCCCCATGACCTCTCCACTGGCTCAGGGGTGACCCCGCCCTGGAGGGACCAGCCACCCTACTTGAGCCCTGACTTGGGCAGCGGATAGGGATGTCATTGGCCTCTGGCCTGCTGAGCAGGCCACTTGTCCACTGGATGGCCCCTGGCATGTTCCCTACCCTGTCTCTACTCCCACCTGCATCTTCTCCCCATTTACTAGGAGTTGGTGACCTCGCCCACGCCCAACAAGACCAAAACATGGGATATTGGTAGCTTCTCTCCCTGAACTGCAGCTGCAGCCTGCATACTGTGGACATGGCAGACATGCTCTGGCCTCATGGGGCAGCTCTGGACACTCCCTCTCACCTGTCAGGAGCGCCCACCCTCATTCCACCATTGCTACACCCATCTGCCAGCTGACTTTAACATGGTTTGCTGAAGAAGCCCTGACACCACCTCCTCTTTGAATTGGGTTCCTTTCACTGCTCCACTGGGAGTCATCCTTGAGTGCTGCAGCCAGTCCTTCCCTTCTCTGTGGGCTCCCCAACTGTGGCCACTCAGTGGGTCCAAGTGTCCAGGTGCCTGTGGTTCACTGTGTACCAAGGCATCTCCAGCAGGCCTGGGCATGCGATGGGGAGTGAGGCAAAGATCCACAGCTCATATCCAGCAGCATTCAGTTGCTACTCGTACGGCCCCTCTAGTTCCTGTGCCTTACCTTCTGCCCTCCACAGGTCACAGCCAGGCACGTACAGGCCGTACAATTTGAAACTTCACAGAGAAAAGCTAAGACTAGGGTGGGTGAGTCATTTTTCCTCATCTTGCACCTAGCGAGAAAGAGGTCTTACTTGTGGATCAGCTCTTGAGCCCTGTCTGGGAGACAGCCTGGTAACAGTTGAAGCAAAAGGATTCAGAGAGGTTCGAGTGCCCAGGGTGGCGGACACACTGAGGGAGTATGGAGGGTGGCCCCAGGGCATGGCCTGCTCAGATGCTGATGTGCAGCCTTATTGTTTCTGGCCTTTTGTCTCTGGCCTGGGCTCTTGTAATAAGATGTGCCAAGACCAGGTGCCTAGGACTGGCATCTAGGTCACACCAAGCGTGAAGGGTCTCAGTCACAGCTGCGTGACCTGGGCAGTCTCGAAGGTCAAGCAGGGAAGCTGAAGCGCTTGGCTCATGTTGCCACAGGGGGCACTGAGCAGGGTTCAGCATAGGAGGCTCCTCCCAAGATAAGTCCCTAGCATTATCAGGACTTGTTGACTTTGTCTCTCCTGAAACGCTTCCACACGGAGTGTGGTTCTGCTTCCACTCACCACCTCTGGCCCCGGTGAGACAGAGAGAGTGGAGCTGGGAATCCCTCGCCCCTTGCCAGCCTGGGCCAGGGCCAGAGGCAAATGCCCAGCCACGTCAGACAGGAACCTGTCCTGGAAGGACTGAGGAGGCAGAGCTCCAGGGAAGAGGTTCCTCGTCAGCAGATTCTAAACCTCACAAGTGGCATTTGGAATTTTAATAGTTGTTTTCTTTTTTCATACTTAGCCTGAAGTAGCAGCTGGTCCCACAAGAATCTCTTTGATTAGTCCACCTCAGGGTGGACGCATGGGTAAGTAAAAGTTCCAAATCCACACACCAACTAAACCGCTCCTCCAAAGCCCCATGTTGGCAGAGTCGTAAGAAGGTCCCCAGGTGAGGGCTGTCCTGGCAGAGAGAGCAGAAGGCTGCACAGGTGCAGGGTGTGGCCCCAGAGCCCTGTGGGACAAGCTCTTGGGTTGCCTTGGAAGATGCTGGTCCTGTGGCACTCTGTCCCCATTGGCCTCACTTGGAAGTTGTGATGCCAGGTTGCTTGCAGGGAGTGGCTTTGTGGCTGCTCCGTTTCCCTGCTGGCGAGGACTGCTGAGCCTCTAGGCCCTGGTGGGCTCTGCACAGTCCCTGGCCTCCTGTGCAGGCTGCCACCCCCACTGTGACACTTCTCTCTGTGCCTCCCAGGGGCGGTAGTGGCTGACTCATCGTGGTGTGGTGCTGCCAGGGCCTGGCCATGTTGGGGCACGGACCCTTGTCTTCACAGGATCCTGCTTAGCACATAAGCCTCTGGATGCTCAGTGATGTCCTGAGAAGTCATACGAGGGCTGCCCCCACTGGCCGCCACTGCTCCAGGCTGAGCACCACCCAGGTGCCCTCAGACAGACCTGATGCCCTTGTTTCTTCTGTGCCAACCTGAGAGAGAAAAACATTATTTTGATGTTCATTTCCCTGAGTGTTGATGGTTCTGAGTGTCTTGGTATTATTCACCTCTCGTTTTTTTCTCTGAATTATCTAATTTCATGTTTTGAACGTTATGAATATGAAATCCTTGATATGAATGATATTGACCTTTTTGCCCAATTTGCTTTGCAATTCTGTATTTGACTTTTGGGTTTTAGAAACTTAACATTTTTGTGTACTCAAATTTGTTGCCCTTTTCATTTGATAAGGTGGTCAAGTGCATAACTAAATCATTCTCCTAGTTGGCTTTTTTAAGACTACTTTTTACAGTGGTTTTGAGCTAAAGGTAGAGGGCTGCTGTCTGCCTGTGGCCGCAGCGCACAGCATGCCACCAGAGTGCTGTGAGAGCAGAGCCAGCCTGGATGGGAGCCCCCAGTTGGGACTCTCTCTGCTCTGGTCTGGACAGGGCTGTGATGACGCGTGTCTCCACTGTGGCAGCAGCCCTCTGTGCCCTGCTGCCCCTCGTCTTTCCTGGTCTTTTTACTGTCCCCAGTTTTGCCTTGTCCAGTGCGGCCTGCAGCTGGAGTTGAGTGTGGCCTTTCAGTTTGTCCTCTTGGCTTAGTCTGTGCTCTTGAGTGCTGCGCCTCTCCTTCCGAGGCTCGATGCTCTTTTCTTTCTAGGCTTGCATCGTATTTGCCTGTGGGGATACCCTGCAGCCATCCCAGCTGCTTCCCAGTCGAGGCACTACGTATACTGCTGCAGTAATGTGCTCCCAGTGTTCAACTCCTGTGGTCGACACCAAGTAGGACGGCTGCTGCTGGGCCTCGCTGGAGAGCACGCTGGTTCTGAAAGAAACTGCCGTGCTGCAGGTTGCCACGGTGCCCTCCACCAGCAGTGCCGCCCTGCAGCATGAGCTGGCCTCCGCGTTGATAGGCGATTCCTGGAGTCCTGCCATGGCGGTTGGCGTTTCCTGGTGATGCACAGTGAGCATCTTCTCGTGGACGTTCACCGTCTGGACGACCTTGTTGACATGTGTCAGGTCTTTGGCCATTTTTTGATCGGGCTGCTTGTTTTCTGTTGAGGAATTCTGTGTATGTTTCCGGTAACAGTCCTTTATCAGATGTGTCTTTTGCGAATATCTTCTCCTGTCTGTGGCTTGTCTGTTTACTCCCTTGACATTGTCTTTTGCGTAGCAGGATTCTTTGAGTTTTTTTTCTGAAACTTGTCCAGATTCTTAGGCCTCTGTCTGGAAGCATACTGTAAGATGAGAATCCACCTTGCTTCTTTAATAATTTACTGGAAACTACTCCAGACACGCAGAAATTTTGTAAAAACATCCCCTCCAGGTTCCTTGACCACTAACCTCTGTCAGAGCTGGTCCCTGTTGTCACTGGTGTCTCGCATGTCACAAACCTGATGCCTGAGGCCCCTGAAGAAAACAGAGCACCCAGCACTCTGGCCCAGCCTTGGCTTCCACAAAGCCCTGCTCTCCCTCCAGCCAGAGCCCTCAACAGAGTGTCTTTCCATCATCCTCCACACTTTCCCCCGGGCTCTCCATTTCTTGTCCTTAAAGAATATAGACCTTAAATTCTGAAGATGACCTGGAGCCTGGGCTGTCTGGAGTTTCCTCCTGTGACCCCATGTGCTGTTGTGGCAGGAATGTGCCAGTTCTTCCTGGTAACTCACACCAGGGCATACAGGTTGCCCTGTCCCCTCCCTGGGGACACTGACCACACTGCCATCTATTGGTCACTTCACTGCAGTTCCATCTGCCCACAATGAGTGGATCTCAGAGTCTCCCTGACAGTGATGCCTGTTTGGCCTCCAACCACACTCAACCTTAGTTCCCAGGACCAGCTCCCAGGACCGCCTCACGGCATTTTTCTGTGTCCATAATTTCTTCTCCATATTCCACTGCAATTTCCCAAGTCAGGCTTTATTGATTCATTACACTCTGGAATCAGATTTCTGTTTTCTTCAGTGCGTTAGTTTCTCCGCTCAGATTCTCCCAGATACAGCCTGGCATGGTGGTGCACACCTGCAATCCCAGCCACTCAGGAGGCTGAGGCAGGAGGATCACAGATTCAATGCCAGTAGGACTGTGGACAGTAAAGACTGGGATCATGAAGTTTCTGAGGAGGAGGACTCCATTGGAGTACGACTATAGGCCATTTGTGTTATGTTCTGGCAAAGCAGTTCTCTACTTTTGCCCTGAGACTTTCTGTGAGGCTCAATTTAAAGGTGATGGACTGATTAATCTGGCAGAGGAAATATCAAGGGAGCGCAGCATTCAGGCAGTGGAACGAACATTGCTGGTGGTTTTTAGCCAAGTATACTGTGATAATCAGAAGCAGAGAGCAAAGATTTTAAAAACTTCAAGTTTGGCTAGACAGTGGGAGTAAAATTGGGACTAAGAAAATTGTGGTTGTTAAAAGAGATTTCAACCACTAAAGAAATGCTAAATACTCTACATAGGTTAAGTGATAAGAAGCGGGGCTGGGGCTGGAGCTCAGCTGTAGTGCACTCGCCTACCATATGTGAAGCCCTGGGTTGGATCTCCGGCACCACCTAAAAATAAATAAATAAAATGAAGATATTGCGTCCAACTACAACTAAAAAATAAATACTTAAAAAAAGAAATAAGAAGAAGGATGGTTTGAGTGCCACTCAGGAATTGGTAAAACCATGCCCATCTTAGGCTCATGGTTACAAAAGTAAAAACTCCTTTGAGAAGAGACCACTGGGGCACTCTGCTTGCACAGGGGGCTTAAGATGTTGTTTCACCGTGTTCAGCTGCCCAGGCACTCAGAGGCCACTGCACTCAGGGTCCCAGGAGGCTCAGCTACTGCTTGATATGGCAGCAGGCGCTGGTTTCAGTGATATGGTCCTGATTCTGGAGGACTATAGGATGCTGGATCAGGGGGTCATGGAGGCTTCCACCGAGATTTTTCAAAGCAAGGCCTAGGAGGCTAGGCAGAGTGCAGCAGGGTCAGAGTCCCTGGGGCTGCCCTGAGAGGGTGATGTGTGGAGACGTGGAAAGGAAGCCAGTGCTGCAGTGCAGACCCCCACGGTTCAGAGACCCCCATACCATGGACTGTCTGCCAAGGAAAGCTGCAGGAATCAAGCAGAGACAAGCCCAGAGAGAAGCTTGTGGCGGTAACCAACAAGGTCATTGGGGTGGAGCGACACGAGTCCTTTGGAGAGAACATCATTGCTATGATTCAGATGTGGTGTCCCCAGAAAGCTCACACGTGAGACCAGGCAGGGTTTGAAGGAGAAATGATAGGGTTATAGGCTTTCCTAATCAGTGAGTTAATCCCTGAGCAGGTAGGGTGTGGCTGGTGGAATGCCAGTAGGACCGTGGGGCGTGGCTGTGGGGTGTGTGTTTTGTGTCTGGTGAGTAGAGTCTCTCTGCTTCCCAGCCATCATGTGAGCTGCTTCCCTCTGCCAGTCTTCTGCCGTGGTGCTCTGCCTCACCGTGAGCACTGAGGAATGCAGCCGGCCTTCTGTGGACGAAGAACTTCCAAACTGTGAGCCCTCAAATAAACTATTCCTTCTCTACAGTTGTTCGGGTCAGATATTTTAGTCAGAGCGGCAAAAAAAGCTTATTAAACCAATCACAATGCCGTATGCCCCAGATGCTGGACCCAGAGCTACAGGACTTATTTGCCCAGCCAGATTTTTGGTCTTGCTTTGTTCCTATCTCTTCATTCTGTATACCTCTGTGTCTTCCTTTAGGGATGGAAATGCTCATTCTTTGCCATTATATATTGGGTATATGTAACTTCTTTTGATCTTTACGAGAGAAAATAGCTAAGAATTTGCCCTGAGTCTCAGGTAAGATTTTGGATTTGGACTTTTAGGCAGTGCTGGAACTTTTAAGACTGTGGCGGCTGTTGGAAATGGACTAATTGTATTTCGCATTGTGAGATGGTCATGAGCTGTTGGGGGCCAGGTTGGAATGTATAGTTTAGACAGGGTGTGTCCCCCAGAAGCTCATGTGTGAGACGATGAAGAGTTGTCACAGGTGAATTATTAGATGAGGAGAGCTATCTGTGGGCTGATCCACTGATATGGTAGACGGGTGGTCTCTAGGGCGTTGTCCCTGGTAAGTGGAGCTCTCCCTGCTCCCTGACTGCCACGTCCTGAGCGGCTTTCTCTACCAGGTCCCCCGTGCCAGGACATTCTGTCTCACCTTGGACCAGAGTTCTGGAGTTGGCTAACTATGGACTGAGACCTCTGAAACCAGGAGCTGAAATAAACTTTTCCTCCTCTAATATAGAAAGAAGGACCCATTGGTAAGTTGTCTATGAGAAAGACACTCCATTCAAAGTCACAGATAGGTCTAAAGACAAACTATACCCCAGATGTATCAAGCGACAGATCCAGAAGAGAACTGGA